TGTTAATAGAGGACAGAATTAGACTAGAAAAAAAACAGCTCGCTGCATTTGAGGGCTTCTTCCAGCACAGTGTGATTTTAGCAGGGTGGTTAGAAAGGTGAGGGAGGAAATGAAGGTAGAAATAGGAATAATGATTAAAATAGCAAATGAAGACGAGAATACGGAGCAATTTTGAGGAGTAAATTACTGCTATTACAGCAAGAAAAACACGAATCAAATCAGATGGTAAGGCGCGAGCTAATGCAGAAATTAGTTCCGGACAAGAAAAAGAAAAATAGGGTGGTTTAATGTTGTTTTGCTATAATGGACGTAAAGATTAGCCCAGAAAAACACATTAACAAGGCAAGTTTTAGGATTTACTGAAAACTGTGGACTATTTTTATGATAAACCTGTTTCTTTTCCTTGTACCTTGAAAAGAAAACTGGACACTTTATTAGAAACCCCTCCCTTATTGTTCCACCTTGCTGGTGTGCAGTTATAGAGACAGCAGCCCACTGTTGATGCATAGTTTGTGTTAGCCATTCCCAAACGGTCAGTGTCTGACCACAGGGCCGTTCTTTGCTGGATATTTTTGGGTGATGGAGACGGCTGATTAATTGATTAATTGATCATGGAGAATGGTAGACGTTTCTAAATACAGTACATGTACACTAATGCATGGAATGGCTGATAAACAGTAGCTTAGTTAGGTGGGTGCATAGCAGTGCTAGCAGAGTCATTAATAATATTTTGGCTGCTGTAGCACACATTTTTCTTTTTTCTACCATATTTGCATAAAGCCTGCAAGCAGTAGGAGGTTGTTTGGTGCTCATATGAAATCAAGTACAAATTGATATAATTTTCCACCTTGGAATAGAATGTAGAGAACTGAAAGTTTTCCCATAGTAAGTCACAGTTATTGCTGGTGATAACAAAAGAATATTACCATTTGTAGTGAAAATTCTTGGCTAAAACTAAAACTTTAAAATAAAGTTTAATTTTTAGCTATACTTTGCACTTTGGCTCTGTGATTTTTTTTTTCCGGTTATTTCAAATTCTGTGGGTACGGTCAGCGCTGTGCTAGCATGGATATTATGCTTCTGTGTGACGCGGAGAAACTTGTTCATGCGTTTGTCACAGCAAAGTTGATCACTGTAATGATCTTCTTACTGAACTTCCTAAGAAAACAACACATTCCTTACAGATCTTAAATCTGCAGATACTGACCTTCTGAACACCTTCTGTAAAATTCAGAAAACATGGAGAGACTCTTTCAGTTATTCTGCTTCTAAACTGTGGAGCTCAGTTCACCTTTTATTAGACAGTCAAGCTCAGTGCTCACTTTTAAGAAGCACCTAAAAACGTCTCTCTTTAACTCAGCGTTTAGTTAAAACTCGTCTCTTGGTATTGATCTTTAATTTGATCTGTGTCATTTTCTTATATGATTCTAAATTAATACTTATAATTTCTTGTATTACTGTTAAACTTTGTCACCTGTCTGTAAAGCACTTTGAACTGCCACCGGCATGAAAAGTGCTACATAAATAAAAATTACTATTATTATTAATCTTAACGCTGATGTGAATGTCCAGGTGATGACCTGGGGCAATTACACAGATAGATACTTTATCCTGTGTTAATCCTCCCTTACAGATTACATAACCACCCATCCTCTGGTAAAACTAATCCAGCTCCAATAGGGCTTATGGCACAGCACTGAAAATTTGAGCGCTTTTTTAAAAAGACCTTTTGTCTGAGAAAAAAGAAAAAAAAAAAAATATAATAAATAAAATGTTATGCAGAAGTTAAAATTCCAAGTTGACCTAACAGTTTTTTCTAGTGTACCCAACACGCCCTCCCTGCACAGAAAACATACTGAGTCATGAGTCAAGTGTTGATGTGTTTATGTGAGAGAGAATAAATGTGTGAGTAAGAGCTCGGACACAAACACTCAGCCCGTCATCGCTGGCCCACACACTGAGCCTCTCAGACAGCGGTGCGCTTGTTCGTGATGCGAATGTGAGATGTTACTCTGTTTCCGCCCCTCAAGAAACATCAGGCCCTCCCTCCTGTGTTCCCCTTCCCCACAGAGAGATGCACTGTGAGTAGATGAGTCACTTAGTCAGCAGGTTGGTTGAAATTACTGCAGAAACACTTAACGACGGCACCACGGCGAAGAGTAAACGATGCCAACATGACGACTATAGTAAGAAAACATGGGGAGAGATTTTTAATGTGATGGATTTCCAGATGTGTGAGAGCTGTGTTGCCTGTCACAGCATATTTAGGAAAATTTTAGGAAGATCAAGATTTTTTTTTTATCCTTTTAGGGGGCTGAGAAGCAATAACTGGGCCCATGTCCAGTAAAAGTTTGGACATTCTTCTTTTCTTTTACTATTCTTTGTGTTTTAGGATAGTAGTGAGGACACCAAAATTATGAAATAACAAGTCAAATGACTTGACTGCTATGGATGTTTTGGGATTTAAGACCTCTTAAGCAGACCACAGTGTTAGTGTTTGCATGGTGTTCAGAAATTGCAGTCAGTGAGATCAGTCAGGCACCTTCTGGTGATATTTAACTGTTCCTTGTTATTTTACTGCGATGCTATTTTGGGTTTAAGTTCATGTAATAAAGCTGCAGCTGATTTACAAAGACATAAGCAGAAAACATGAAAATCCTCACAGCTGAAGGACTCATCTCGTATTAGAATAACCTGATAATTACAGCAATAAACAGATATCAATGCTAACAAAGATCAGTGTTGAATCAGCCACATTTTTGCTGATCAAATGCTACTCGTCTTTTTACACCACAGCTAACATTACTAGCGCAGTCACATCGTAACTTCTTTTAGCTCAAAAACAAAAGTTTGTGAAGTTGAAGCTGATACCAAACCATGATAAATCCACTACTTGTACTATACAAGGACAGTGTACAATTACACATTACAGTTCATCACATAGTTCTTAAATATTAGAACATTTAATGTTGAAGTGAATCCTAGTTAACTGTTTAATTTATCATTTCATGACTATTAAAAAAATGAAAACTCTGTGGGCCTTCTAGGAGAGAAGACCTAATGACGTGAAAAATTAGGTGTAATTTTAAGTTTTTTTTTTCTTTCTTGTAATAGAATCACATGCTTGTTGTATTTAAACTCTCCAGATGTTGTACTAACACTCTTATTTCATTATCAGGTTTTGATTGGAAACTAGAGTGTTAATTTCCAACAGAAAATGGTCCATTCAAGATTCTCTCAACAAGCAAGGACTCCCATTGGTTAGGACTTCAGGAGCTGAACTGAAGGCCTAACGTCAGATTAACTACCAACATAATTAGGAAGTGAAAAAACGTCACTTTAGGCGCTCAGTCCAGTGTCGATGTCTGTGAATGTGAGCCGTAGTCTAATTAGGTTTCAGTTAGTTGTTAGGAATTGTCTTTAATGAAAAAGTCACTGTAAAACAGCAATGTCTGTGTATTGCCGTTAGCTTAGCGCTAACATACTAGAATCCCATAGAGGTGAATGAGCATTTTTCATAGAGGTTTCCAAAGGGCTTGCTCCAATGGTCATGGGTCTCTACTGCCAAACTGTATATCAGTCAGGCCCTAGAATGAAGTATGAGGGTGGTGGATACATGAGATATGAGGGGAAAACACAAATGTAGGTCAGTTATGTGCCTCTTTCACAGCATTAAGACATGAACCATAACGCACGGGACACCTATTACACAACTCTCCTCTCAGATCAGTGTAATGAGCTGACATTAATGTGTGTAAACATGCTTCTGTAAGTTATACGTCACTCTTTTCATTTGTAATATTCCGTCTGCAGCTGCTGACTGTCGGTTAATCACGCCACTCGGGGGAACACGGCACGGCTCCTTGTTGTAAATAGCGTGGGTTTGTTTGGCTTGGAGAGTCTCAACCTCCTCTGTGGTTTCTCCTCTGTCTCTCTCTGCAGGTATCTCTGCTGCGACACTCAGACTGAGATGAGAGAATGGTTCGCTACGTTTTTGAGCATACAGGTTTGTTCCCATGTCCAGCTTTTCTCACACTTCATTCACTTGTGTCACAAATCTGGCTGCTGTCAGAATCACTTCACTTGGATGTTGCTGTCAGTGCAGTCTTGATGCTGGAAAGGATAGGTCTGGTTCTAAAGACTGATCAGTAGAGCCACTGTCACCGAGCCATTGTCAAATACTCAACATACACACACGGCTGCACACATCTGTTGAATTCTCTGTTAAAGTGCCTAGTTAAAGTGCCCATATCCTACATGTTTCTCGAGGTCAACCCATAACATTTGTGTGGTTTTTTGTGCCAGTAACAGTCAGAAACCGCTTTTGTTGCTGTGCCTTTAAAACTGAAGTATGTCTAATGCAGAAAGCAGTATGAGCTGAAACACTCCTTATATCTTTGTTATTAATGGGTGAAGCTAAACTGCTACAGGCTGAAGAAGTGAATATATATGTAAATGTGTTAGTTTTCATGACAAATAATTCAAAAAAACTTAGTTTTCATATACAGTATTGTGCAAAAGTTTTAGGCACCTGGGAAAGTTAGATTAAATCTATTCATCGGGACAGCAAGCATTTATTGGCACTGATATTACAATGAATATAAATAATATTAAAGCAAGAAGCAGCGACATTATGAATATGAATGTGTTTGAACTAAAGTAGATAAAAAAACATTTAAACAACTAAACCAGATAACATATTCATATGTTTAAGTGTATTAATTCTAATAATGAATGGTAATTGTTACAGGAAAAAAAAAACATTTTTCCATGATTAATGGCTTAAAATGATGTACCTTTGCATATTACACTCTTTTATATACAAAAGTGAGGAAAAGTAGGTGTTTCCATGATAAGGGCCCTTTAAATAACCGATGTATGATGTTGCCTGGCAGCTGTATCCTACTAATGAGCTGTATTGTTTAGCAGAAGTCTTTTTTTATTATTACGGTTAGGTAAGTTATTTCTTCATTATTTGTGTGCTATTGTACTATTATTTTTAGAATATTATCAATCAAAATATTTCTGCATAATTCAAAAGTTGAGACATAAACAAAGTCATTCTGGGTCTGATTTCTTTACAGTGGTGGTGATAGAAAACCAGGGGTCACGATGTCAACAACGCAGATACATTTTATTTGCTAACCAAAATCACCACTGAACCTACACCTTCTAAGTTTTTATATGCAATGTTGACTGTGGTAAAATAGCATAATTTTCTTTCAGAATTATTTTGCCTTACTACACGTTGCATGTACCTCTCCACCATAAATGTCTTTTAAAAGCGTATTTTGGGACCTTTGTTAGATCTCAGAACTTTCTTAAAACAGTGTCAGGCTGTGTTTTCCCAACCATTTCACATATTAACTTTCTGTGAGGGAACTTATAGAGAGGCATTGAACTCTTCAGAAATCAGGTTCCTATCACTGAGAACAGTATTGTTTTAGTTTTTCTAGAATGGAGAAACGATATTCTGTTTACATTACTGAAAAAGTAAACAAATTTACTATTAACCATAGTAACCTTGTAGCTCCACCTTGCTGGTACAGTTAAGAGACTATAGCCCATCTGTTGAGCCATCATCTCTTCATCAGTGGTCAGTTTCAGACCACAGAGCCTCTCTTGGATATTTTTGACTGGTGAACCACTCTCAGCCTATGATGAGTAGGGTAGAGGGGGGGCTGATATGGTGCTGCAACTGATGGGCTACAGTCTATAATTGGACTCCTGTACAGTGGAGCTCTATGGTTGGTGGAGCTCATAAAGTGGTCGGTAAGTGGGACCACACGGTTGGGGTTTCTAATAAAGTGGACGGTGAATATATACTCAAAGATAATTCATAACTTTTGGATAAATTCTCTCTCTCAGCACGCAGGGTTGCTCTGGCCGGCGGAGTGGGTGAAGTCTCGAGCCGCGAGTCGCTCGACGCCGCTGGACGCTCGCCTTGGTAACGTCTCCCTCATTCCTCTCCGTGGCAGCGAGAACGAGATGAGGAACAGCGTGGCTGCTTTCACTGCCGATCCCCTCTCTGTGAGTTTAATCAGCCAATCAGCATGGCCCCTGGACAATCACACAGCCAGTGGCAGCCAGTGACCTTCTCTTGCCCCTCCATCTTCACAGGCACGAACACTTTGAGGTTCTCGGTCAGGGATTACTTTTTACTTTCAGTGCAGAATCTCCATTCAGAATGCAAGGCTTAATCCCTGTTTGGCAAACTGTCCACTACACCCAGCCTTTTATTACTCAGCACTACAGATCAAGTCCAGAACTTTGGAAGCATGTTAAAAAACACTGCATAGTGTTTATGAGCTTGTCCAAACAAACAGCAGCCTCATGTAGGCCACTGATGAGTCACAGCAATCGGGAGACTGACCCTAGAGGTCTGCTATTAAACCTGAGCCCAGCAGGGCCCAAGACACTGCCCAAAAATTATATTATGGTGGAATATTACTTATTTTTAATTTGCCACCCCCCTTTCCACCCAACATCAAGGCGTTAGTGCTGAGTGTTCAAATATCAGACACATATATATACATGAATGCATTTTTCATTCCACCTTAAATGGCACTGCCAGAATGTAACTGCTGCACCATTTAAGGTGGAATGGAAACGTGCGGCTTTCAGGTCAGGTTTAGGTCTTAAATTTAGCGATACCGCTCAGGTCTGATAGAGTCAGGCTTCAACTGCAGACCTGTAGTGACCTCATGGAGAAAAAACTGCTGAACACTTGAATAATTTGGTGAAAAATTTGATTTACCTAATTGCTCCCTCACCCTAAACAGCAACAGTGTTAGTGTTGTCTATAAAAATGGACGAATGTGTTAAAACAACTCAGGCTCCTGTATCACTACTAATGTCTTTAGTGATGCAACAGCATTTTGTTCATGTTCATATAGTGTCAGGAACCACATAGGCCAGCCTAATTGAGATTACTTAAAAGCTTTTATTAAAGAGTTTATTTAGAAATGTAGTTTTTCACAATGCTAATTGGTGCACATATACTTCCACTGCTTGTTAGCTACATTAGCCGTATATCTCCAGTACAAAACTGAAGACGCGAACCTCGGACACCAGATGTCTTGGCTGACTGACTACTTTAGATTTAAGTGGGAGTTTGTACACATTTTATTTGTGGTCTGTTCCTCTGAGCACATACAGCCTGTCAAGTTCCTGACAGTTGCGCGATGCTAATATAACCTATGAATAGAGCCGGACATTATTACAGTGTGAGACTGTTACCCATTGTCACTCAGCGGCTGTGTGATTACCCAGGAGGCTTCACTCTTGTGATTTACTGTTAAAAACACTCCCCTTGCAGCGCTCTGTGCATGTATAGTCCTGCAGGACATTATTAAGTGTCTTTAACAGACGAGGTGTTTTAGAGCCGTGAGAGCTGTGAGTGAAGTGTTGCTTTTCTTTTGCTTTATCTGATCTGGGGCAGATGGAGGGTTTGCCTTTGTGAGTACTATGATAAAGTCACATACCATATATGTGAAACTATCAACATAAACGGGAACTCATCATGTTCAGCTGGTGTTTTCAAATGGTGTAAAAAATGGTGCCAAAGTCAGAGACCACCCTCCATTTATGTAATTTATGACAGAACAGCCATGAAGTGACTCATTTTCAGATATTTCTAAGGAAATTAGATATAATCCACTTACACTAAGAAGGAGAAATGGAGTTTAAAGAATAATTAAAAGATGCTGAGATACAGAGAAAATGGAACTCCTAATAACCACCTTCAAAACCTGATGGATCACCAAAACTGCCCCCATCAGATAAACAGCACTTAAAGCTTTCATCTCTGAGAGAGAGGAGAAAATCAAGCTGCTTCAGATCTGAAAACATCCACAGGTGTTTCTGTCCATCCTTCCACTGTGAGAAGACGACTCAGCGCTGTGGGTCTGAAAGGATGTGTAGCTGTCAAGAAGAACCTCACTGAGAAAAGGAGACGGACACATCAAACAAAGAAGCTGAACGATGGACTGACCACCCCAGAGTCCAGACCTCAACATCACTGAATGTGTTTGGATTATTTGGATCGTGAGAAGCAGAAAATGTAACCAGCTTCTATGGCTGAACTGTGAAGGTGTGGAAAAACATCCCTGCAGATTTCTTTGAAAAACTGAAAGGAAGTCACTGGGAACAGAAGGGAAGCTGAAATAAACACATTAAATACTGAACAACTTGATATTAAATTTAGTGTTTGAAGTTTTTTAATTATCTGTTAAATAATAAATTGTCCCTATTTGCTGTTTTGTCTAGGAAAAAAAACCAAGGCTGATCTCTGACTTTTGTATATATAAATATATAAATATATAAATACAGACTTTATGTCCAGAAGTGTCCAGACACCCCCTCTAATTAGGCTTCTTTAAGGTGCAGTCATTGCATACAGGTCGTACAGTCTCCATAGAAAAGCACTGACCAGTAGAATAGGAGGCTCTTGAGGCTGTTACTGCAGCAGAGGGGGACCGACTCCCTCTTAATACTCATGATTTGAGAGGAAACTTTTGGACATAGAGTGTGTATATAGCACTATATCATAAATCATATTCCAGGACACTTTTTGGAGGTAAAGGGGCACAGGAGGGGGTCTTATTGCTGGTTTATGTTTGTGTGGGTGTGTGAAAGAGAGAGAGAGAGAGTGAGTGTGTGTGCATATGATAAATCCATTTATGTTTCAATCATATCATAACCATAAATCACAGTCATTTTTTTCGGGGGAACTAGCGTACACATATGAGACGCGTGACACTCCTAGTAACTCTCTTATTACTCTCTCTCTCTCTGCTTCTCTCTTCTCTTTTCACCCTTTCCCCCTTTCTCTTCCTCTAATCTATCTCTCTCTACTCTCTCCTCTTTCCTTACACATTCCCTTCTATTTCTCTCACTCACCCCCCCCCATTCTCCCTCTCCCTGCCTCTAACCCATCTCACTGTCCGTGTCTCACCTTTCTCTCTGTCTATGAAACACTTGGAAAAAAACATGATGAAATTAAGATCTGTAAGATTTATGTTTATTATTTGTGCTACTTAGAAACAATTGTAAAATATATTCCATATTTCCGTTTAAAAGCTTTGCGCAGGTAATTTTCTGACTTTATATGTTTTGAATGCTGCATTGTTCTTAGTGTATGTAGACAATAAGTGGTGTGAATACTGCTAAGATGCTACAGCTTATTCCAAATCACCAAAGATCACTTAGCTGATATCCAAACAAAAACCGTTACGGGTCCCTTTAAACTGCCTGAGAATTAGGAAGGTGGGCGTGTGATACTTTTTCTAAACGTGTTTGTTTCTCCACCAGCTGTTTGGAAATCTATGACCACGAAGTAAAGGTGTCAGGTAAGAGGCCTAAACTCAGACCCACACCCACAGACCAACTCCAAATTCTTTATAAAGGGCTCGTTGAGCTTTTGCTGTACATTTAATTTACATGACATAATTATTTAAACCTCAGTGACACAATGGAGTACATGTTGATGGTATAGATTCTGTATTGACAGCTTCCAAGAAATGGGAAAAATATGGCCAAAATCATGTAACAGTCAAAGGGAACATGCTTAATGAATGTACTTTAGCATTAAAACACTGCCTTTGTTTTGTAAGTTAACATTAATATATATTTTCCGTCTCTCCACAGCTTAGATCTTCTGAATGCCGGTTCATGGCCAAGCCTTTGTAGATGATTCTGGAATATATGAACTAGTTGGACCAGTAGGATCCTGTTTTAACATATTGAACTATATGGAGTATTGAGGTCCATGTACAGTCACTGACTTTGTCCTTCAACTCGTCTTCCAGGAATACGTTTTGATCCACAACTCCAAATGTTTCACTCCAGTTATTGTTTCCTGGAATTATTTCTGCACCTGAACTGTTGTTTGTCACGTTGGGGGTGAAGTTTACCTGACCAAGAAGGTTCCTTCACACACACACTGCCCTGGTGGATTTCGGAATATGATCTGTAAGTGTTCCTCGGACCGGTCTGAGAAAAATAACAGGTTCTAAGAAGGTTTACTGGATCTGTGCATTATGGACTGGACCTGCTGAACTGTTGTACAGCACTGTGTGGTTGTTACTCATGTGATATGAACAGAATACTAGTATTGCAGTTCATATCGCTAAAGATTGCAGCTGTGTTACACTTGCGATACTTTAAAAATGCATTAGGGAATCAAAATAATTATCCTTTAGTGAGATTACATGACCCCTTGATGATTCATCAAAACGCCCGCAGAAACTCATCTAGAACTGTGATTGGTTTAGGATGCTCACAGCATGAAGGAAACAACACTGTGATTGGTCAGAGGCTCATTTGCATGTTGGCTTCTGGGCTGGCCCGGATATTATAGACTTAGGTTACTTGAATGAATATCTGAAAACATGTTCTCAAAACCAACCTTGAAGAAACTAATCTTTATGTTTCATAGTTAACTGTAAGCTATTTATTAGCTAAATTTAAAATATTTTGGAAAATCGTAAAATGTGGCCTGTGCAGCAATTATGGAATATTTCATATGACCCCCCACCCACCCAAATAGATTAAACTCTTCAAATAGAATACAGAAATTTGAGTATTTCAACAGAAATTTTGCACTAAAGTTTCCAAAAATGTCACATTTAAGTGTTTAAGTCGAGGGTTTTTCCAACCATTGGACCACGGACCACAAGTGGGCCACAAGGAAGCACCCTCTGGTGGTCCTTGGGCCTATATTGAGGAGGGGCAGAGGTCAGTAGTGGGCTGGTGCATACTTTTTTAAAAACATTTTTAAAAAATATAAAACGTTTTCCAACAGTAAACAAGTTTACACTCCCCCCGACTCGTCCACTCACGGGTGGATGGTATAAGATATTTAACGAGTTAGTCTATTTTGTTAATATTTCAGTGCTGGACACCCAAACATAACGGTTTTCCAAAAATGAAATCTTTAAGCAACAAAGTTTATTTTTCTGTGGCCTTCATGCTTTCTAGTGATAAACTGGTGGATTTTGAGGTTGAGAATCGTAGCTATAGAGGATGAATTCCACTTGAAAACAACAAAACATGCCACTTGTTTGTTTCAACTATTGCACATGACTACATGTTCATTACTGCAAAATTGATCCAGTAGGTAACAAAAATGTATTAATAACGTACTGGTGAATTAACTGAAGTCAGCCTGGTGTTGGCACATAGGGTGAGGACTGCTGTACTGTATTTGAGATGATTCATCACACCTCCATGATGTACCAACCTCTCCAGTCTCTTTTTAATCTTACCAAATTCACATTTTTTAGGCATCTTTGCTCTTTTAGCATCAGCGGTTGCTTGGAAAGCAGTGCAGTCTGTTGCGCTCTGAGGTGAGATGATGTGGATGCCTGGCATGAATTTATGATGCATTCAACTGAATACCTCTTCTATCTAAAGGCCTTTGCTGATGGATATAGTGGCTTAAAATAAGACAAAGCTTCCGAATACTGAACAGAGAAACAAATACGAGCGTCGGTATTCAGGTTGTTCGGGCCAGCCCCAAAGCGCACGATCGCGATAACAGTAAACAGATACATTGTGCTGCCCTAATTCACAGTGTTGTAAAAATGAGCCTGCGGTGTGGCAGTGAGTCACTGTATGTAGATGGATATTTGCTGTTACTTTGTTCTCATTTTAATTTTTTTTGTTCTGTAATTTTAATTCTTCATTATGGAAGCAGTTCGTTTGAATTTCGTTCATATTTAAAGGAATGAAACACTTAGGGTTGGGTGAAGAGGGTAGCTGCAGGACTCTAGTGGAGCTGTTACTAATCATTAACGTCTTAACACATATATCCAGACCTGACACACCGACACGGCCACTTCATATTCAGCTTCTCCTTAGGGGCACACACACACACACACACACACACACACCAACACACACACACACACACCAACACTTGCTTATCCCTTCCCTGAGTTCTGTCTCTCCAGATTAACTTGCTGATTTTTAACGTTCTATTAAATTATTTATTTTTGTCTTCTTTTGTTCTGGATGATCAGCTCCTATCACATCCTGTCCTGTGCCTGAAAGGCATGAATTACAGGTTTTGAGAAGTTGTATGTGTGACTGAGTGTAACCTGAGAGTGTGTTTGCACGTATTTGGTGTCTTGTTTTGATTTCTTGTTTCTTGTTTCTTTATACGATCGCATGCACAGGTCTGAACAGTCGAATCACAGTATTTTGTTGATTTTTCTAAGTGAGCGTAAGTTAGTACTGACAGAGCTAACTTATTTACAGGGATTTATTTGCTGGGTTTAATGTAACTTTCGCAGAGGCCACATTTTATGTTTGTTTTATTTTTCCCCCAACATGTTTTGTTCAGCCAGTAAAGAGTAACTGTGCATTAAAATGTCTGTTCACCCATTTCCACTTAGAAAAATCAACAAAACATGAGGGGCGAACAACTTCTGCACACAACTGTATATTGGACTGTGCTTAGCTCTGATTACAAAGGACTTACAAATAATTTACACTGATTTAATTAAAAGAATAGTAAATATTTAGCCTAATGATGCTTCAGGAACGAGTGCATCGGCCTCATAACAGGCCCGAGTATTCAGCTACGTCGGACATGAAGAAGCTGTTCGTCCTCAATCACTGTTTATAAATGTTTACTTGTAAAAGGGTTATGAAGGAATACAGTAACAAATAACTCTTCTAACATGGCTAACATTCTCCAAAAGCTACCCTAATTATGGGATTTACACCAATGCTGGTTTGGTTAATCCTAGCTTTCACTTTTCAGTTAGCCTTGCTAGCAATTGGTTGGATACCTCTGTTAATTAGCTTCCAATCAAGAACTGAAAAAAACTGCTGTCAAGCCAATCAGCATCCACAAGCTTGAAAGGCTGCTGGGAGTGCTTTCCACTGGAGTTGCTCACTAGCGCCACCTGCTGGTGAATACCTACTTTAATTGTACTTTGACTTAGATAACATGCTAAGCTGAATGGTATTCAATGGCTATCGGTAAGTCCAGATCGGTAAATGTGATTTCTTCAAGTAGAAGACCACTTATTGGTGAAACAACATCCTTTTTAACTAGTCATTAAATGCACACTTTTAGTGGTCTAATCTAACATTAGCTAACTGACTGGGGAGCACGTTCAGGTCTTAAAATGTGCAGAAAACATTTGTTCAGTCAGGATTGACTGAACAGTGAGTTTTCCACCATGGTATCTGGGTACGTCCAGCCAAGCTAGCCTACAAGTTCTGCCAACATGAATACCTATCAAAATAATTAACTGCCAGTGGAATTGATTTCCAATGTGTGAGACCAACTTTGTGAGGAAAGAAATGTCACTCTAAGTCTTCTGGAAGTCCCAGGTATGAGACACACTGCTAATACTAGCTTAACAAGGTTCCTGTTAGTTATTAGGAGTGGAAAACAGCAGCAGTTTTATGCCAGAACTCTTTACTAAAAGTCAGTGTAAAACTGCGACATGCAAGGTAAAATATATGTTAACGTCTGTCAGAAACGCCAGATAGAACATATGGTCATGTCTTTACAAACTTCAAATGTTTGTGTTTATTCTAGAACATGCTATAAGAAATCCACTAACAGAAATTAATATTATATAGCGTTTTTTCCCTCATTCTCTGGGATTTATGATGCAAACTGGATGTCAAGCTCTAATAGTTAGTCTTCCACTGTATTTTACAAATTTATGTTTAACAGGAAATTTAAAAAGGCTGTTAATATTCAACTGCAACTAAATATGAATAATTAAACTTTTTTTTTTGAATAATGAACAAGCTGTAATGCAGAAATAGATGCAGAAATTGACTGGGGTGATGATGTTGAGGGATGTTTTATCATGTTTTACTTGAAGAAATCACATTCACCAGGAAAAGTCTTGTGCATAAAAATTGAAAGAATGGTTTAAAGATCAGTGTAAAGCCCAAGTGTACCCACCAGCGTGGTAGACCTGGGCTGCTACTGGCTAATAGGGCCAGACAGAGGTGTTGGACCAGCACTGCACATATGCATTTCAGAAAAATTACAGAGGTGATTTTAAAGAAAGAATTTGAAGAAAAACTCCCAACAATTTTGCTCAAAAAGCTAAGGCTAAGACGGCTAAGATACAAGCGTAATCATTACCTCTCATTAGCTTCCATGTGGCCACTTTCAGGTTTAGAATGACGAGAACAATCCAACATCGCATCCTTAGGTTAGTCTGGGAGTTATGAGTATTTTAGTGCATTCACTACAACATGTTTAGTATACATTGCTGTGTATGTATTAGCATGGTGGCTAGTGTTGTAGCTGTCCTAGTTTCTATCATTCTGTCTGTGTTTCTATCATTTATCTAACCTCTATTTTGGTGTGTCCTTCTGTGCCGTCTGGAAGCCAATGGGAGGTCACCATATCTTTTCACCACATCTTACTTTACAAGCAGGCTTTTCACAAGAAAGTACCAACATTGTGCAAAAATGATGTGACAGATGGGAAAAAGTGAGAAAACATTAGAATTTTTCTAATAGAAATCGATGTAAACGTATGAAGGACAAGCAAATCTGCTAATGGTTTGGGAGCGGAACTTTATAAGACTACCTGAACTAATAACAGGCTGAATTATCTTGCGGTTAGATTATTAATCCCAAGATAAAATTATATTTAAGCCTTATGTACATGTAATAGGTTATTAGTTTCACAGTAGGAAGCAGTCCCTGCTGTTCTTTACCGGGGTCCAGATTCCCGGCCTGTATGTAGCGTGTTTTCATAGCTGGCAATAAACCAATATTTTAAAGAAAATGAGATGCTGTTAAGTTTTAACTTCTACTTTCCTTACATCTGCATGTTTTTTTACAGTGTTTGTGTTGTTTTGTGTTAGTAGTTTCAATTCCTTCTTTTTAAGGACTTCATGAGATTTAAAAATGTTTATTCATTCAGTGTTTAACCTGTACAGATTTAAGTGCGTAATCCTTCTGTGGATATTAATTTGATAGGAAGAAATTAAACAATCAAGAGTCGAGTCATTTCTTTGTGCTGGTTTAGTTTTTGATGGATCACTCAAAGGGACATAACGCGACACCACGGCAGCATCAGCAGCTTCAGTGAATTAACATGAACATCCTGCCATAAAGATGGACCACTGATCTTTTAATTAATTTTAATTTAAAGATGGACCGCTGATCTTTTAATTAATTTTAATTTAAAGATGGACCGCTGATCTTTTAATTACAGCCAGCTATCTGGAATGATTGCATCCAATGATCATTTTATCTGACATTAGCCAGCTAGCGTTGTTTTGGGGATTCACGTTTACACTTAGCAGTAATAGGCATGATAGTTACAGTTTAGCTGTGATTATTTGGAAGGTTTCTAGAAAACCTCAACCTTTTTTTCACCTTTGGTTCTTCAGTTATGATGCACATCCTTTTTATTTTAGCTTCTTATTCAAATTTTCTGTTCTAGCCTAAATGGTGCAGTTAGCCTTTAAGGCACCAGATTATGACTGATGCATCAGCTTCTGATTCAGATTTTTCATTCTACTTTAAACTGCCGCAGTTCGCCTATAAGGTGCCAGAATGTGACAGACTGACCAACTTCTTATTCAATTTTCTGTTCCACCTTGAATAAAGCATTAGTTATATTCTAGGCCAACTGCTGTGCCACTTACGGGTCAGTGGAAAATTCAAGTAAGAAGTGGGCGCATCAGTTATATTCTCGCGCCTTACTGGCTGACCGTTACACCATATAAGCAGAAAATTTGAATAAAAGCTGGCATAATAGTTATATTCTGGCATCTTAGTGGCTGACTTCCGCACCATTTAAGAGAGAACTGAAAGTTTTGATAAGAAGCTGGCGTTTCAGTTGAATTCAGCTAGCAAATCAGTTAAGAAGCTAGTAAATCAGTTATATTCCGGTGCCTTAGAGGCTAACTGCCACACCATTTAAGCTAGAATGGAAAATTTCGACAAGAAGCTAGTAAATCAGTTATATTCCGGTGCCTTAGAGGCTAACTGTCACACCATTTAAGCTAGAATGGAAAATTTCGATAAGAAGCTAGTAAATCAGTTAAATTCCGGTGCCTTAGAGGCTAACTGTCACACCATTTAAGCTAGAATGGAAAATTCCGATAAGAAGCTAGTAAATCAGTTAAATTCCGGTGCCTTAGAGGCTAACTGCCACACCATTTAAGCTAGAATGGAAAATTTCTACTCCATTTAAGCATGCAAATGGTTCTTTGAGTGTTCATGCTTCTACAGCATCCCAGAAGAGTGGAGGCTGTTATAGCTGCGAAGAGGGCCAACCTCATATCAATGCCCATGGTTTTGGAATGGGATGTACAACAGGCTCATATAAGTGTGATGGTCTGGTGGCCCCTGTAATGGTTATGTAGTGCAGTGTGCACAGAAACAAGACCAACAACACATTTGTACTTGTTTCTTGCTTGAATTCAGTCATTAAATTCACAAGGCTAGGAGAGTTGTGGCCTGTTCACCACACTGCCATCAGGCAAGAGATACTGCAGCATCCAGGCTAGAACAACCAGGCTAATGAACAGTTTCTACCCACAGGCTGTCAGGCTCCTGAACAAGCTGTGAAGCTGTGAGTCCTTCCCCAGTTACCATTTCACTTTGTCACTTAGTTACTGTTACGGATAATATCACTAAGCAACTTTAAAATGTATATGTGTTCGTATACATATCGTAAAACCTCATGTCTCCATTTTTGTTTTTTTACATATTTGAAAATGCCTGTTGTTCTTTACATTGCGTGTAAATTTCATGAAGAATGGAACAAAAAAAAACAGCCCAAAATTAAAAATTACTTGTAGAAAAGTCTGGTTCCATTGACATTAAAATTAGGTTTTTCCTTTTCCTGTAAAATTATCATTTTGGAGATTATATATACATACATACATCATCTAAACCGCTTATCCTTCTGGGTCGCGGTGGGGTGCTGGAGCCTATCCCAGCTGTCATTGGGCGGAAGGCAGGATACACCCTGGACAGGTCGCCAGTCCATCGCAGGGCAGAGATTTTATATATATATATATATATATATATATATATATATACACACACACACACACAATTCTGCTTTCTTTAATATATTTGTACATAGTAGTGACTTTTCTTACATAGGTCCCTCCTGTCTATGTATATTCGGTGTATATTTTAGGTATTTTTTATTTTTTTTTGGTTTCGTTTTGTTTGCGCTGTTTTTAGTATGAATATAGCGCTGCCTGCTGTGGAGTGGTTACCCGTGCCTCACCACAAGCATTTCAATGCATGAATGTCCTGATATGCGCAAACGACAAACTTGAAACCTGGAAATTTCTTCTACAAATCTTCTTTTCCAGGGCATTTACACATTCACTGCTCCCAAAGGACCCTTCTAGTCTTTGAACATGCTGAAATACTGTACAGTACGTAACCTGATTACGCCTGTGGTCCTCGTCTTGTTCTTCATGTCTTTTCTCAGCTTCTCAGCTGTGATGAGTAACCATGTTGTGTGTCATCAGGACCAGAAATGACTGAACGTTCTGATCTGGGGAGTCAGAATGTGCTGATTGCTGCTGCCGTTCCGGAATCCAGCCTCATCTCTGGCTGTAATCAGGAACGCTCGATGAGCATCTGCTCTTTTGGGACACCCTGTCTGCATTTCCATCAAAAAAACATGATTTTCTGAAAGCCTCTGGGGGAAAATGGAGATGCAGCATGTCTTTTAGGCAATTTCACATTTCACACCCTCTTGTTTATACTCTCTCTTCCTTTCAGTCGCTTCAGTTTTTCACTCGTTCTGTCGTCCCGTTGCACTTTCTCCCTTTCTACCTTTTTTTCCTTCTCAATCTTTGTAGCTTTGACTTCAGTGTAATTTGGCATTGAAGAGGGGAACTATTACTGCCTAACCTCTTCAAGACCTGCTGACTATCAGCTGCTCGCTAACGGCCAGTACAGCTACTCTCCCTCTTTTAGCTCTCTCTCTCTCTCTCTCTCACCTTTCTGTCCTCTCTTCCCCCTGTCCTTTACGCTTTCTACAGCCTTTTCAGGGGTAGAAACAGAACACAAAGGAAAAAGTCACTTCTTCCATTAAGAACTGCATTTACTAAGAAATGTGCCAAACCTTTAACATGTGCTGAAATGTAGCAGGGCAGCTAGCTCTAGTCTCTAGCTAACTCTGGGCTGTTTAGGTATTTGGGATGTGCATTCCGAGAAAGACATCTGGGAAAAGACGGGAAAAGCCCAAAAAAGGTACTTTGAATTAACGTGGAGGTGAAGCTGGAGGCTTTTCTAGGTGATGGCTCTGGTGTTAAGAGGCTAAAAAAGTCAGTAGCACATCAAATTAGCAGCAAGCAGAGCGCAGAACATTTGAAAGTTTCCGTGTGTGATGAGTGGAGACTTCCTCTTCACATGAGCTAAAACTAGAGCTAACTGGTACAACACAGGATGCTGGTGAGAACTCATCATCTTACACAAGGTATTTTCCTTTTTGGCCAAAAAAGTGCCACTTTATGAGTAACTGCTGTGCACTTCCTTTAATTTCAGTATTTTTGGGAGTTTCAGTAAGATGCTCATTATGATGGTGCACAGCTGTAAACTGGCCCTGATCTGAGTGGAGAAAAACAGAAAGCGCTTGGAAAAAGGGAGGCAACCACCGCTGAGTCTTCACCGCAGAAGGTGGGCGTACGGTACGCCGTAACTCCACACCAGTTGCCTTCAGCTCACGCCTGCTTTTGGGGCTAAAGTGGTAGGTTTTCCATACCAGCTGTAGCAGGTCATAGACTTTTTCAGTCATTGGCAGAGAGTTTTGAGTGTTTAGGATTGCCAGTTCCAGCCTGTGGGGAAAACAATGAAATGAAAGAACATGTTTTCCTATCTCACTCCTAAAGAGTGCACCTGTTCCACCTGTGGCACCCATGTTAACACTGGTCCATCTGCCCCAAAGGCACTGACTGTGTTTTGCCACCAGTTAGGATTCGTTTGGTCAAGCTTTCAATTGTGCTCAGTATTCCCTGAGCATGACGGTGCTCGAGCTCAGCCAAACCAATAAGCCGGTTTACTGGTACACCTCCAGAAACGTGTCTGCAATAAGCAATAACATTATCCCTGCCGAAAACATCTGCACCACAGTCAGCGATTACAGAGGTATAATTAGCCAACTGGGCTTCTTTCACAGTCTGTCCTTTGACTCTGTCTGCAATGCATCCTATGAACTCAACCTCCAGCCCACGACTGTGGGGCAGTCGTGGGCTGGAGGTTAGGGAACCAGACCCTGTGACCAGAAGGTCACCAGTTCAATCCCCTGAGCTGACAGTACATGACTGATGGGCCCTTGAGCAAGGCACCTAACCCCCAACTGCTTCCCGGCCGCCGTGGATAGGGCTGCCCAACACTCCAGGGGGAGTGTGTGCGTTCACTAGTGTGTATGTGGTGTTTCACTGCATGGATGGGTCAAATGTGGAGGTGAAATTTTCCCGTTGTGGGACTAATAAGGGTCACTTAATCTTAACACAAGCTGTGTCATCATGATACATCTTTAACACATCCAGTCCTTTTTTCATTAACAGGATTTGGGAGGTGAACATGGTGAAGGGTAATTCCTCATATGCTATCATGTAGGAAGCTCTCCGAATCCTTTCTCGGCTGTTTCTTCGCATGCATGAGACACTGCACAGGCTAAGGGAGTTTCCTTAGCAGCACTCGCTGCGATAATGAAACGTGCATTTTTAGGCCTTCAACTCTCCCCCTATTTTTTCTGTCTCTTTCTATAAATTAATTTGTTCCCATTAAGAAATCTGTTTTCCCAGCTATGAAGCCAAGAAGTTTTGAAATGTCTTTTTGTGGTTTTGCTTCTGCATGAAGTGCTTGAAGTGGACGGCTGTTCAAGCACATCCTCTTGCGCATCTTCCTCTAGTTCACTGGTACTGAGTCAGACCGGGGTTCAGCAGTTGACCTCTTAAGGTCTGACAGAGACGCAGATGGTTTGAAAGTATCTATGTTTCGCTTCACCATTTTCTACACGCCAT